CAGGCAGTCCTCGACTTACAACAGTTCGCTTAGTGACTGTTCGAAGTTACAATGGCACTGAAAAAACTGCCCCCCAAGCCACAGCCGAGCAAGACACCTGCCTGCCCACCCGGCGGAGCTCTTCATCCCGTCCGAGGTTTTCATTGTTGTGAGCATTTCTGTTGAGGATTGGCAGGGGGGGTGGGGTGGGGGGGTGTTTGGTTTTTATTCCCCCGGTCTGCTAGGTGGTTGCAGCAAGTTTGGTCACTTCAAATGACCCTGGGACACTGTGACCCTCATAAATATGAATCAGTTGCCAAGCATCTGAATGTAAATCACAAGACCCTGGAGATGCTGCAACATTCCAGCGGATCGGCGCTTCTTCTGGGCTCAGCAGAAGCGCCAGGATCAGCGCCGAGCTCCAGCTGGAGCCTGGCACTGATCCTGACGCTTCCGCTGAGCCCTGACAGCCCCGAAGAAGCACCGATCAGCTGGAAAGCGGCATTGATCCTGGCACTTCCGCTGAGCCCTGACAGCCCTGCAGCTCCAGCTGTCTCTCGTTCAGGCTTGTGCGGTGCGGCCACCGGTTCAGTTCATTCCCCTCCCCCGCTACCACTTTTCTAGGATGGTCGCGTACCACCTGCCAGGTGCCAATGTACCACAGGTGGTACCCGTACCACTGGTTGAAAAGCCCTGGCCTATAGTATACACCTATGGAAATGTCATTTCCCCCCATTTTAGATTGACCCCAAAGCATTCAAGACAGTTTTCATCATTGTTGTGCTCCATTTCTGTAGAGATGTAGTTATTTCTTATACGGAAAGCAACTCCGCCTCCTCTTTTGTTTGGTCTGTTTCTTTTAAATCATTTAAATCCCTCTAGCTGCGTGTTCCATTTGTGGGTTTCATCCCACCAAGTTCCTGTAATGGCAACAATATCATATCTGCCCTCATTTAGCTGAATTTCTAATTCACCCTGTTTGTTGCTCGTGCTCTGTGCATGAGTGTTGTCTGAATGTGGCCACATCTTGACCCTCCCTCCCCCCCGTTGCTGAGAGATGAGGGGAGTTGTAGTCCTGGCCCTCCCCAAAGGAACTCCCCAAAGTTGTCTGCTAGGTTCCTCAGGAGCCTGCTTGATCTCCCACTAGGCGCAAAAACCTGTCTCCCAGTTGATGTCAGGGTAGTCAAAGTCCCCCATGACTATTTTGCTGTTTACCCCTCACCAGACACGGCAACTTGGGGTGGGGGAAGCGGGATGGACTGGAGGAGAGCTGTTCATAGGTAGAACATGAAAGAAA